GCTCTTTTACATCCTTGGTTAAATTTATTCCAAGGTATTTAAATATTTTTTTTAGCCATTGTGAATGGTATTGACCTTACAACTTCTTTCTCAACCATTGCATTGTTTGTATATACAAAGGCTATTGATTTTTATGTGTTGATTTTATATCCTGAAACTTTACCAAGCTCTCTTATGAGTTCCAATAGTCTCTTAGTGGAGTCTTGGTTTCCCTATATACAGGATCATGTCATCTGCATACAGGGATAATTTAGTTCCTCCTTTCCAATTTGTATCCCTTAGATTTCTTAGTCTTGTCCAATGGCTCTGGCTAAAACTTCCAGAACTATATTGAATAGCAATGGAAGGTGGGCATCCTTGCCTGGTTGCAGATCTTGTTGGACGTGTTTCCAACTTTTCCCTATACAATATGATGCTGGCTGTGGGGTTGTCATATATTGCCTTGATTATGTTGAGGAATGTTTCTTCTATATCCAATTTTCTTAAGGTTTTTTTCATGAAGGGATGTTGTATTTTATCAAACGCTTACTCTGCATCTATTGAGATAATCATATGGTTTTTATTCTTTAATTTGCTAATGTGATATACTGCATTTATTGATTTGCATGTTGAACCATCCCTGCATACCAGGATAAATCCTACTTGGTCCGGGTGAATGATCTTTCTGAGTTGTTGGATTCAGTTAGCTAATATTTTGTAGAGGATTTTTGCATCTATGTTCATCAGGGATATTAGTCTATAGATCTCCTGCTTTGTTGCATATTTTCCTGGCTTTGGAATTAAGTTGACAGAAGTTGAAAGAAGGAGTTTGGGAGGATTCCCTCCCTTTCAGTTGTTCTGAATAGTTTGAGAAGAATTCAGTAGTGAAGTCATCCAGTCCTGGGCTTTTCTTTGTTGGGAGTATCTTTACTACTAATTCAATCTCCATCTCAGTTATTGGCCTGTCTAGGTTTTCTATGTGTTCATGACTCAATTTTCATAGATTATATCTTTCCAGGAATCTATTCATTTCTTCTAGATTTTCTAATTTGTAGGCATGTAGCTGTTTGTAGTAATTCCTGATGACTCTCTTCATTTCTGTGGTATCCATGGTAATACCTCCTTTTTCATGTTGATTTTAATAATTTGGGTCTTCTCCCCCCCACCTTTTTTTTTGGTTAGTTGGACCAACAGTTTATCAATTGTTTATTTTTTCAAAAAACAACTTTTCATTTTGTATCTTTTTTGGTTTCAAGTTTGTTTATTTCTTCTCTAATTGTAATTATTTCTTTCTTCCTACGGACTTTGGATTTGGTTTGTTCTTGTTTTTCTAGGTCTTTGAGATACAGTTACATAATTTATTTGATATTTTTCCAATTACGTGATGTAAGTGCTAATTGCTATAAACTTTCCTCTTAACACTGCTTTTCCTGTATCCCATAAGTTTTGATAGGGTGTCACCTTCATTCATTTCTAGGAATTCTTTTATTTCCCTTTTGATTTCTTCTATGATGACTTGTCATTCAAAAGCATGCTGTAAGGTAAGAGCCTACTCTTGATCTTCAGACACTTCTTTGGGAATAATTTAGAAGAATCTAAGAAAACTTCATTCATTCGAACCACAGATGACTGGTCTAGCTGACATTCTCCTTCTCTAGCTGTCTTCTGAGAGCGTTCTTCAGATACCAGCTTTCTTCAGGAGAATGAACTCCATTCATGTGGTCAATTACATCAAAAACTACTCAAGTTTCTGCAAAAATTTCTAATCTTAGCAACATTATACAATCTTGTACCACCAATAGCCTCAGTAGATGATTTTTATTTTTTTAATCCTTTATAATTACTTGCACCATTGAAACAGGGCTAAATATGAGCCATCTGTGTTTTTTTGCCCAACTTCAATTTGCACAAAAAGGGAGGATTTTTTCTCTCCTTTCTGGGTTCACAACTTCATTTAATACTTTTTATTCAACATTTGTTCTGGTTTAGGGATTGTGATGTTTAAAAAAAATACAATTAAGAGTTTAAGCAGGGCATATCCAATTAATTAAGACGCCTTGTTTGGGTTGTGTTATTGCAGTGTTCTCCAAAATGTTTCGATCACACAACCCTAGCAAGTAGCACAAAACTTGCGGGCATGTAATCTACAATATAAATATATTTATTTATACATTATATGCAATGTGCTAGCATATTATATTATATGCATTAGAAAATTACATAGAAATTTCTCAAGGACTTAATATAAATATTCATTATTAGCAGCAAATAACTATTTGCTATCATTAGAAGTTATTAATAATGTGAAATAAGAACAATGTGATCCAATGTTTTTTATTGTTTATGAACACCTTAGCTTAATCCATCTTTTGTGATTAAGCAACTTAAAGTTCAATTTGTTTTGATGCTTAGTTCTAACAGTTGTCATAGACACTTCCAGAAAATACATAGATCTAAAGGAAAAAGGTCATCATGGCATTGAGAGACTCAATTTTTTAATTCTATTCTCTGATAAAGCAAAATGTTAGAAGATTTTCAATTTATTTTGCATTTTAATTTTTTTTGCTTGTTACTGTTAAATGAAACTCAACTAACAAATGTCCATCTTTCCTGATATGGATTAGTTGCTCTTAAAAATGTATCAAAGCAGCCGGCACCGCGGCTCATTAGGCTAATCCCCTGCCTTGCAGCACCGGCACACCGGGTTCTAGTCCTGGTCGGGGCGCCAGATTCTGTCCCGGTTGCCCCTCTTCCAGGCCAGCTCTCTGCTGTGGCCAGGGAGTGCAGTGGAGGATGGCCCAAGTGCTTGGGCCCTGCACCCCATGGGAGACCAGGAAAAGCACCTGGCTCCTGGCTCCTGCCATCGGATCAGCGCGGTGTGCCGGCCGCAGCGCGCTGGCCGCGGCAGCCATTGGAGGGTGAACCAACGGCAAAGGAAGACCTTTCTCTCTGTCTCTCTCTCTCACTGTCCACTCTGCCTGTCAAAAAATAAATAAAAATTAAAAAATTAAAAAATAAAAAAAATGTATCCTAAAACCAGTGAAACTTTATGAAATTTTTTAAAACCACATTTCTACAATTAAGTTATTGAACACAGAGATATGAAGAGTTTTAACAGCTGACACACATAATTTTTTAAAGTAAAATCACATTACCAAACATCCATTTAAAAAATGTTCTCCCTGTAGGACAGGTCTCATCCATTGTTAAAACATGGCTTTTATGGTGAAGGGCAATATTTTAGAATATTTCTCAAAAATCTCTGTAAGGTAACATCTACTAAAACCATTTAACACATAAAGTCAGCAAATCTGGATTGCCTTTTTGTAAAAGGAAAAAGAGTAACAATTTTTAGTTCCTTTGTTAAACACAACCTCTGTGTGGTAGACATACACAATACTCCTTAGCATCTCATTGCCAAGCATATATGAAGATGCTACTATGTTGTAAAGAACTTAACCCACTATGTAATACCCCCGATAGCACTGAGTGCACATCTGGGTGTAACTTCTTTGCTCTTGACAGATGCCTCAGTGAATTTCATACATGTCACTGTTAATGAAACTGAGTGCAATAATTATTCAAATTACCTGCTTGATAATTTCTATTGAACAGGGTGGCTGCTGGTCAGTTTACACTAAGTTGATGTATCACAAACGAGAAATTTGCTGCAAGTCCCCCACTGTCCATTCTCTCCTTCCTGCGTATCAGCACCTCTGTGAGTGGGCATGTGACTGCCCAGAGCAGATTCCATTTTCCTAGCTCCCCTCCCCTTGCAGAGACATACAGCCTTGGGACTAAGATCCGGTCACTGGGCTGTCAGGATAAAGACATATAGCCTTACAGGGAAGGGCATATCTTCGGCTTTCCCTCCTCCTATCTAGCGGGAATTCATATGTGAGGGCTGTAACTTAAGCAACCATCTGGAAGCAAGGAGGAGAAGCCAAGTGTTGAGGCAACCAGGGAACAGGAAAGGGATCCACATTCTTCGGTGCCGTCATTCAGCCCTGGTTGCCTACGTTGGTGTGAGTGCGAAATACACTTCTATCTTTTTTAAACTTCTGTTATTTTGGTATTCTAGCTCTCCCTGGTGCACTGACCCCTAATGTATGTGCTTGGTAACAGGGCTGACGAAGGGCTCATGCTTGGTGTCAGACAAGACAGCTCCACCACTTTCCCAGGGCAGCAAGTGCGTGCGTTTGACAGCGCCTTCGGGCTGCAGTTTCCTAGCAGACACTGGTCCACTCTGTCAGGATTAGTTCAGAAAACTGCATAATCTAATTTTTTTCATAAAAAGTAGTATTATTCATTTGAGACACACAGTGTTTCCAAACGCCTGCAACAACTGTGGCTGAAGCCAAGAGCCAAGAATTCAATTCAGGTCTCCCACATGGGTGGCTGGGACCAACTTCTTAGGCCAGCACCTGCTGCCTCCCAGGGTCTGCATTAGCAGGAAGCTGGAATTGGGAGGAGGAGCCTGGCACCAAGCCCAGATGTTCTACCTGGCATTGTACCACTAGTTCTAACACTTGTCACATCACGTTGTCAGGTAAGTGTGAACTGCAACATGTGTAGCATGGGAAACAAGTGAATGAGGAGTCCCCATAGGTAACTCCCACTCTCCTCTCCAGACAACTCAACAACCAGGTGAAACCGGAGTTTGACTGAAATACAGACCAGAGGACAACATGAGCGTCCATGTTAGGTATCTATGAAGGTTTTTCTTTGTTCTATGCATAAGTATACGAGGTCCTGCTTTCTTCCTGCTCCTGTCCTGCTCCTACCACAAGTGTTTTCATGCACTTGCCTGGGATACGAGCACTCTTTCCACTGGGTCCACGTTAGTGCCTACTGTCTAGAGTATAGATAGATCCACTGATAACTTCAGAGTTCTCGCCCAGACCATGACACCACACTGTGAAACTGTTCACAAGTGAAAAGCCAGCATAAGGAAGTATAAAACTTGTAAAAGCAAATGGCAAGTCAAGGAGCAGACGTTGAGTGAAGATGTCGGTGCCTACCTGAAGACCTCAAGAACAGTCCTCTCTGGCAATCTGGGAGCCACCTGCCTAAAGGCTTTTTGGAAATCTTCCAAAGTTAAAAATCCACGATCTATATGAAAACAAAACAGAAAACATTTTCTTAGTTCCATAAACCCAATGAACTTTCAGCCATGATATTTGCGTGAACCTCTGTTTTCATAAATATTACTAGGAAAATGGCAATAATTTATAGCTGACTTTACATACATGGTAATCCAAGATGGTCTCATGGGAAGAATTTGAGAATGGACTAGCATTCTCCACAGTGCAGTCCTGGGTGACCTCCAAGGGCACTTCCAATCCTACCGTGCTGCTCGGGGAAGGACTGTGAAGGTACTCAGTGAAATAATGGTCTTTGTGAGTTGCTACAACAATTCAGTCTTCAAAATTCACTTTTTTTTTCTTGCTCCATGTTAGAATTATATTATTATTTGGGGAGTGACCACACAGCAGCTAAGACACAGAGCCTGGTCTCTTTTCATCCCATGTTTGAGCTGGGGGGGGGGGAAGGGGGGTCTGAGGGCAACTCCCTCAGTCACACTCGGCGTGGGGAAACAATTCCCCAATCACACGTGAGGGAAGTAGGAGCTGAAGGGGAAAGCCACACGGTCTCCCACATTTCCATAGGTAACTTGTGGTCTATAACCCCACAAGGCCAGTCCTTCTGTTGTCCATTACAATATAGGGACAGTACAGAGATATGCAGGCACAATTATAAACACCATGATCCAACTATAAATCTCATTGCATCCGGGGCAGATACTGGGCACAGTGGTTAAGATGCTGCGTACGATGCCCGTGTACCATAGAGGATACCTGAGTTCCAGTCCTAGCTCTGCTCCTGATTTGATTCCAGCTCCCTGCTAACACACCCTGGGGGGCATCAGATGATGACGGCTTGAGCATTTGGGTCTCTGTCACCCAAATGGGAGACCCAGATTAGGTTCCCAGCTCCTGGCTTTGACCTGGCCCAGCCCTAGCTGTTGTGGGCATTTAGGGAGTGAACCAGTGGCTGGAAAATCATTCTGTCTATCTCTGTCTCTCTCCATCTCTCTGCCTTTCAAGTAAATAAGAAATAAAAATTAAATATATATTAAATATATAAGTATTATTCCGTGTAGCTTAAGATTATGGAGAAGGAAAAAATTTACATCAACACCATAGTTGATACTGAATGTAACAAATAGCCTCTCAGATAGACTGTAACTTGATTTACTGATTATACATTTTCATTTACAGCTCCTTAGTAGTAATTTGCTACATCCACACACTCAACAGCCACAAAACACTTACAGCGAATGTCAAAAGCCGTGAAGATGTGTCTTCTTTCATTCTGATATAGTTGGGCCTCCTTCTTCTTCCTTATGATCTTTACAAACTCCTCAAGTAATACACCTAGAAGTTTAGGGGAAAAAGCAATTTTCCAGAGATGACAGCTTTCCTCTTAAAGAAAAAAATAAAAACAGAAATGAAAAGTGATATATAACACAAATAATCAGAATTTATTTTAATTTCAGTGAATAGTTTTACTCCAAAAGATCTATAGTCACTAAGACGTTTTGCTAAGCGCTAGGTAGGTACACCCAACACTTGCTATCAATGCCAAATGTGACGGACACTCTTAGGGTTCATGGGATCTTTTCAGGGGATGGGGATAGTGACCTTGAAAAGTGAGCACTCTTCCCTCTAACAGAGATGGCAGACAGGCACGAAACTAGCTATTAAAGAAGGTCTCATCAAGTTTTCCTTATGCGCCTTTGATCCCCTTTTTCCTTCCTAGCCAGATGTCACTGCAGCAGGGTTTTTTTTCCAACTGGGAGATCGGGTCAGAGAAGTAGTTTCTCCAAAGTCGCTGTCAATGGCACACTGCACATAAAGGTGGGGGGAGTATTACATCAACAATAGAGCTGGCACCAGCCCCAGCCCTGGATCCACCCCACGATGTGTTCAGCAGCCTCGGGCTCAGCTTCCTGCGACTCCTATAATAAAAGAACCCAGCATGATAACGGGAGATTGGATACTGTGCTTACGATGTCTATGAAAATGAATTCTAATGTGATCTTTGTAGTAGGCTTAAAGAGCGGAGCCAAGAGCTTAAACATCTTAGAGAAGGGAGTCCTAAGTATGTAAAAAGAGAAGTTCATTTTTATAACTCAGGATTTCCATTTTTTAAAAAAAGTCATCACTCTGTTTTAAAAATAGCCCCAAATCATATATTAACCACACATGCCCTTTTCCTTTTGGTGAGGTAATACTGAACTTTATTCCATTCCTAAAATAGTTTTGATTGCTTAAAAAAAATAGAATAATTTTTCTGTATTTGTAGAGATTTATAAACTAAAAAAAAATCTATCTTTATGTTTTTACTGACCCTTTTACAACATTCCAGGACCTACTAAGTGCCAGGCCCTGTATTAAACTCTGGAAAAGGAGAGGAAAAAAGAACCTCCGAGATTCAAGGGACTGCCGGGCTAGCAGGAGAGACGGTCACGCCACAGGCTCCACCACAAATGTCCCTGAAGTTGCCATCTGGGGTAGGGGCAGTGAAGGGGAAAACGGTGTCTCGGGAATCCTCTCGAGGGCACGCCCTGGTGAAGGAGAATGCGCTTCGAGGAAGAGATGCCTCAGCTAAGACCTAACCAGGAGACAATACCAACTGGCTAAGGGGCGGCAGCAGGAGCGTGCCAGGCAGTGGAAACAGCACGTGCCAGGCCCTGGGGCGGGGAAGTGGGAAGTGAAGAGGCCATTGTGAACAAGAGATGGCAAACAACAGAAGACGAGGTTGGCGAGGGAGGCCAGGCTGGAAATCACGGGCCCGCATGCACCACAGCACATAACTTGGGTTTCATTCAGGAAGAAATTATAACGATCCAACTGGGAAGTGACAAGACCTGACTTAGATTTTCAAAAGCTCTTTCTGGCTACTGCCATGGGGGTGGGGGAGGGGAAGAACTACAGGAAAAGCAAAAGTGTAACAGGGGAAGCCAGTCACAAGCCTTTTGGCAAGAGACGCAGGTGCTAGGGTGCTGGCCACGGGAATGAGGAGCAGAAGGCTTCCAGACACATTTTAGAACAGACATGACACAACTTGATGGAGAATTAGACATAGCAGGTGGGAAGGAAGATGTCAAGCATGACCCATAGATTCTGCTTCATGACTCGGTGGTTCAGGGAGTCACTGGGGGAAGAGCAGGATTATAAGGTGAGATGTCTGGTTCCAGTCTGGATGTGTTAAGTGTTCAACGCTCGGTGGAGACAACCAAGAGGAAAAGTCAAGAAGGCAGCAGGCTGTACTCTGGGCCACAGGACAGACCTCCCAGCCCTCAGCAGAGTGCCTGCAGGCATTCAGTAAACCATCAGCAGCAGGGAGCCTTAGGGGATTGCTTCCAAAACTCCTACAGGTACCAAGACCCATGGATGCTCAAATGCCTTTTATAAAATGGTGCAGTAATTACATACAACCCATGGTTAGCCTCCTGTATACCTTAAATCATTTCCAGCTGGCGCCGCAGCTCACTTGGCTAATCCTCCACCTGCAGTGCCGGCACCCGGGTTCTAGTCCTGGTTGGGGCGCCGGATTCTGTCCCGGTTGCTCCTCTTCCAGTCCAGCTCTCTGCTGTGGCCCAGGAAAGCAGTGGAGGATGGCCCAGGTCCTTGGGCCCTGCACCCTCATGGGAGACCAGGAGGAAGCACCTGGCTCCTGGCAGTGCTGGCCATAGCGGCCATTTGGGGAGTGAACCAACGGAAAAGGAAGACCTTTCTCTCTGTCTCTCCCTCACTGTCTGTCAAAAAACAAACCATCTCCAGATGACTTATTCTATCTAATACAAGGCCAGTGCTATGTAAATAGTTAGCATGCTATTGTTCAGGGAATGATGACAAGAAAAAGAATTCTGTACAATTTTTTTCAAATATTTTTTATCCAGTTGATTGAATCTGCACATGCCTATTCTGTGGATGCAGAGGGCCAACTGTATGCACCGCAATGACTTCACATCTCAAAGAGCACTATTTCTATCACTATTCCTATCAGCAGTTAAGGTTAAAGGAATTGAGGTAGCTCCATTCTCATCTAATCACTCTGTGGCCAGAAGACATATGGGGATACTTCAAAAATTTCATGGAAAAAGTGGAATTAAAAGCTCTATATTTAGCAGGCTGCTGCTGTGTTGCAGTGGATTGAGCCGCCATCCCGTAGGGGCACAGATTCAAATCCCAGCTGCACCACTTCCAATCGAGCTCTCTGCTAATGTACCTGGGAAAGCACCAGAGGATGGCCCAAGTCCTTGGGCCCTTGTACCCACGTGGGAGACCTGGAAGAAGCTCCTGGATCTTGACTTCAGGCCCTTGTGGCTATCTGGAGAGTGAACCAGCAGATGGAAGCTCTCTGTCTCTCTCTCCTGACCCCTCTCCATAACTCTGCCTTTCATTGATAAAGTTTAAAAAAAAAAGTTCTATTTAGCACAAAAAATTCTGAAATTCATGTATAGTTTTTTCACAACACATTTTCTATGTGTGTTTTGAAGACCCCTCAAGTTTAAACCTGCTAGGTGAGGTTAATATTGAAGCCTGGCCATGCTGTGTTGCCCTAAGAGCATACCCATCACTTTAGTTTCATGAACACCAAAAGCTAGTCAATTAAATAGCATCTAGACTTATCAAAGCCTTTTAATAATTTATCCAGTGATAATGATAATGTCCCTGAACCAAAATGAGTCCATTTGCCACGTGCATCAGAAGGCCAAACATCAAAGACAATGTCTTGTGGAAACAGTTTACTAAAAAGTGGACAAGCAAGGAGCCAGGAGTCATTCTGAAATCTGACTTCTTGATCAGGGGTCTGGAGAAAGTTTTATAGATTAGGTAGAAGAGGGCCAATGAAGCAGAAACACTGGTGAGGCAAGTTCTGATGGGGGCTTGGAATCAGGCCAGCACAGTGTGTTCTATGCAGCTCTCCTTTGACAGCAAGAATTTAAAACATATATCAGGGGCCAGCGCTGTGGCATACAGGGTTAAACCTCTGCCTGTAGTGCCAGCATCCCATGTGCCAGTTCTAGTACCAGCTGCTCCACTTTGGATCCAGCTTCCTGCTAATGCCCCTGGGAGAGCGGCAGAAGATGGCCCAAATACTTGGGCCTCTGCACCCACTTGGGAGACCCAGAGGAAGCTCTTGGCTCCTGGCTTCAGCCTGGCCCAACCCTAGTCATTACAACCATTTGGGGAGTGGACCAGCACACGGAAGCACCTCCCTCCCCCTCCCCCTCCCTGTCCCTGTCTCTCTCTCTCCATCTCTGTGTATAGCTGCCTTTCAAGTAAATAAATCTTTAAAAAATATATTAGACCCATAGTTAATGCATAAGATGGGAGAACTTTTCGGAAAGAATGGGGAAACATAACAAGAGAGTTTGAGTCTGGGGCGTCAAGAGGTAGTATCCATGGCAGGTATCCTGGGCACTTCTTGGTAGCCTTTTCTACTCTTACCCCAGCCCACCTCGCTAGCCTTCCTCCACAGCTTCCTGGTGCCTCCCCTAGGCAAGGCTCTACTGGACCCCTTATCTCTGCAAGTGTAAAACACTGCCTGTAATGCACTTTCTCCTTTCATCTCCCTAGTGAATCTTTCTATCTTCTTCCAGATGTACCTTAAGCGTTAACTCTTCTTTGAAGGCATCTCTGGTTTCTCTCAGCTGAGTCCCTTTTCTGTAACCCTGAGGAGTTTATGGTAATCATGTGGCCACATGGCTGTCTGAGACGTGTTGAAGGAAGGCGGTACACATTTTTGAAATTTCATCCCCAGCGTTTAGCATGACGCCTAGCATGTGGCAGGCATTCACTGGGTTTTCTGAATATGTTAACATATAACAAACAAATGCTAACTAAAAGGAAGGTCTTATTTCCAGTTTTCAGCAAAAAGCATTACAATATATGTTTAAAATAATCTTATAGCTCTGCAAACTATCGCCCAAAAGTAGGTCTCTTTTTTGTTCACAAAGCCAGCAAAAAAAAAAAATGTAGAAACTCCAATTTATTAATATATAATAATCCAGTAAAACAAATGAAATTCAGAGAAAGGAAACAGAAGCATAATTGCTTTTTACTTATCACTGCATCTAACTTTGAGAAATGATGAGGGTGGAAAAAACACAGTTCCACAGCACATGTGTGGCGGTCTCTTCTAGATTATGGATTCAGATAATGCATCAGTATTTGGAACTATATTCAGGTTTTTATTTCACAGTCTTGTGGGCACAAAAAAAAGTTTCATTTTTTTACCAGGAGAAAAATTTATGTAGACTTGAAATGTATAATGAACAGTTTAGATTGCTTAAAGAAACAATCTAGTAGCAAAAGTAACCCTGCATGTTCTTTTACACTGTTTTCCCACAGAATCATATTCA